TTCACTCTTTTCCAAATGAACCACCTTCTTTTATTTCAAACTCTGCCTCTTTAATTCATTACTGAAGCTGAGGGCTTACGACCTGGGATCCTGGTAGCTGCGTGTTCTAGAAGAGCAGTGGCACGGTGTGGTGTGCTATGGTGTGCACTCCTCAACAAAAGGGGACAGGTTCTATTTCTAAGACCTCAAGGCTGCATCCCCAGGATGACTCTGCCCTAATCCTCAAGGCTGAAAAAGCTCAAGGGTACCAATGGATTTTCTGTTTTTCTAGCCCAACGCCTGACCCTGGATCCCTGACAACTCTTTCTTAGGCCCTTTACTGAGAAGAGTTTACAGTTATGAATATGTTTTCTGCTCCTACAACTGAGGAGTGCTTTTTTTGAAGGACCTGCGAAACGCGCCTTTATGCTGTCACTATCTGGAAGAAGGACTGTCACAGTCTCCATGGCAGCACACTCCAGACTTCTATCATGCCCATATGCAGTCAACCCATTCACTGGGCAACCTTTTGGAACTTCACTACCCTGATTCCACTGAGCCTCTGCTTACCCTTTGCTACTCCCTCAGTCTCCCTTTAAAAAGCCCAGACACCTAGTACAAAGGCACACTGAGGTGACTTCACACTCCTTCTAAACACAGTGGAATTACAAATCAAACTTGCCCGTAGCACTTTAAGCAGTGTTCCCTTCATCTCTGACAGAGGTAAACCATGACTCTGCTGAAATAATACGAGATAGTGCACATCACAGTGTCTGGACTCAGAGACCAAGCTGTGCAGCCACAAGGCATCTTTTTGAAAATGAGACACCAACTCCTACCTCACAGGAATTACTGGATTTCCATGAGAATTACATGACGTTAGATATGATGTGGAACACAGTAAGGACTCAATACATAATTCTTTGAGAGGCTACCAGGAATAAACCTCTATGCAATTTGCCAAAAATCAGGGTCTGGTCAAAGAGACAACTTTTGTGGCCTCTACTGTTTGTAAAATTGAAGCATTAGACGTATGTAAGGATCAGTCCCACCTGTCCAAGGTTGGCTGCTAGAATGAATTTGGTTTCAACTCATAAAAATGCAGGCCTGCTTTGTTCTGCTAGAAGTCAGACCCTGCAAGGATTGATAGTTCCCTTCAAAAATGTGATACATTTTTCAAGAAAATAACAGACTTAGAAGGGGATATGTCCCCAGATGAAGTCAACTTTATCCTTACTGCTCTGATATAAAAGGTAATGTCTCTTTAAGTCACCTAACAGAACTGCAGGCAGTTACTAAGTGTTGCCAAGGGATACTGGCTGGGCTTGTGTGTAAATTAATCATTGTGTGTAAATTAAGCAAAACACCAGATGAGAGCAGTCTGGAATAGCTCCTTATCAAAAGAAAAACAACAATAACATATTTCCTAGATTTAGTTTTAGCGCTGGCAAAAAAATCTTCCAGGGCTTCTCATCTGATTCCCTCACTTCACAAGAAGGTCTTAAGACTCCAGAGGTCTAAGGAGGCCCTGAAGCTAAGGGTAACTGCGCTGGTGTAAAGGCTCTCACTATACTTCGCTGATTACGCATTAACAATATAAAGGAAAGTATAACACTGACCTAGGAAATATTTTCCATGTTGACATTAGAAATTTGAGTCTCAAAAACTGAATTTATAACAATCTGAGAAATGAAGATGTGGCAATCTGAGAAATCAGTCCTTCCTTGCCTTTCCCATTTGACTCTAAGGAACAGGGCTGAAGGTCAAGTCCAGAAGCCAATGAAAACCAGGGGAAAAGGGGTTATAAATAGTCTTGGCCTCCTCTAAGGACAACTGTAACATTTCTTCAGCAGAGGATCCAAAGAGGGAAAACAGGTTCCTTAGCAGTGAGCAGGAAAAGATGCATAGGTCTTTTTCTGGCAAAGAATGGAGGCTTCTGACTGAGTACTTATGAGAAGACTTCAATCTCTCTGCAAACCCAACCACCCAGTACCTAGACACTCAGTACTCTTTTGCTGCCACTCAGTGGTAGAAAGCCTAAATTGCAGGACAAATTCTTAATGGAAGCCCCATATATTGTCTTTTATTCAAATATACCAACAGTTATTGAGTGCTAAATACATCCTAGGCACTCATTTGAGCAACAAGATGTGTTTGTCAGTGAGCAGAGTAGACACCAAGAAACTTAAAATACAGTGAGAAGAAAAATCTCTGCCACCAAGAAATTTAAATACTGTGAGAAGTAAAAGAAAATAATATATATGTACAGTTAGTAAGTTATAAGTGATACGCGGAAAAATAAAGCCAGATATAGGGGTTGGATCATGGATGTGATGCAGTGGGGCTAAATAGGGTGATCAAAAGAAGCTAGATGAAGAAATAACATTCGATAAATACATGAAAAAATGTTCACAGCATTGGTCATTTGAGAAACGCAAATTACAATAACGCTGAGATTCCATCTCACCCCAGAAAGACCAGCTATCATTAAGAAATCAACCAATAACAAATGCTGGAGGGGCTGTGTGGAAAAAGGAACCCTTCTCTACTGCTACTGGGAGTGTAGACTGGTACAAACACTGTGGAAATCAGTCTAGAGATTCCTCACAAAACTAGGATTACAGATCTTTAACCCAGCTATTTCCCTTCTGGGTATTTTTCCAGAAAAACTGAAAACATCATACCACAGCATTCTATGTGCACCCATGTTTATAGCAGTGCAATTTGTTATAGCTAAATTTTGGAAACAACCCAAATGCCCATCAACTGAGGAATGGATAAAAAAGATGTGGTATTTTTATACAATGGAGTATTACTAAGCTATAAAAAAGATAAACTCGGGGCTTTTATAGGTAAATGGATGCAACTAGGGACCATACTCATCAAATAAATCAGACCCACATATGTTAACATCATATCATCTGCCTAGTGTGAAAAGCTGAAAGAGTAAATAAAGCCTGAAAGGTACAATAGATATTGTGAAAGGGAAAGAAACTGCTCAAAGGAGAGGAACAACTGGGTTGAGGGAAAGCAGAAAAGAAAGAAAGAAGGGAAAAAATATATCTATATTTTTGGTATATACAAGGATAGCTGGGATAATTGTACTGCTGATATCTATTGGTTTATTGAAAGGAACAGTTAATGCTAAAATTTTTTGGATCAATTTTGCACGCTTGTATCTGGTAATCTGAACAACTAATCTGAAGAAAACAATATGCAATATAACAACCACTGCTGAACTCCTACCATCTTGTGTAGTGACACTCTGTACCATTTCTATGTTTTTTAAATTACTTTTTATTCTCTTTAATTGTTTGATCAACCTTGCATTCTTACATCTGGTAATCTGAGCACTTTATTGAAGATAACAATATGTACTATAGCAGCCACTGTTAATTCCTATCATTTTGTTTTTAAATTCTGTAACATTTTTATTGTTTTTGTGTTGTTTTGTTTTTGTCTTTGTAATTGTTATTTTGTTATTATTTTCTTTTTAAAATAAAAAAAAGAAATGACATTTGACTAAAGATTTAATACAGGTAAAAAAATAATCCATGCAGGTAGGATATACAGTAACATTCTGAGGAGAGGACATAGTGCAAAAAGCCTTAAAATGGGATACTCACAGGTTTGCTGTGATTGAGGAAGTATGAAAAGACCAAGTAGACCAAAGAGGAGGGTGACACAATCAAATAATAACCACCAATACACTAGAGCCTGTAAGAAATGCCAGGCACTATTTAAGAGGCTTAAAATCCAGGTGTGGGGAGGACACAACTTCTAGAAGTAATGAGGGTAAATAATCACACAATATATCTTGCGCTAAGGATCAAAAGAGTGAAACAGATAACAAGTGTTGTTGAAAACCAAAAATAGGAGGATTTAGAGCAGCAGAAAGAGTTTGGCTGGAGGTATCCTGGCACTTACAGGGCAAGGCTTAGAGAAAAGGAAAGTCACTATTTGAAGAATAAGACGAAACGGTGAAATAGAAACAGGAGTGGCAGAACAGCCAGACTGATGAAAAGGACAACACACTGCTAAGGTTAGGATGGACAAGTAGCTTAGACTTCCACAATCCAACAGCTCTCTGAAGAGTTCTGCCTCCCAAGGAGCAGATAACATTCACTTTATACAAACTGTTCCAGAAAAATAGAAATGAGACTAAATTTTGTAAACCTGATTCCTAAGTCACATAAGAAAATAAAGCTAAACTCTGGTTTCACTTCAGATTGAATAAATCTTTTGCCTTTGGCTAAAGAAAATAAAGCTATAGGGAAACGTATTTATATGTTAAATATAAATAAAAAATGATTTTAGCTAAATCAATCCAAATGTGTATTTTTAAAATGTTATTAATAAGTGTTTATTCCAGTAGTGCATGGACAATTAAATACATGTATATGTTTAATACATACATACACACATAAAGTGAATGGAAGATTTTATATTTATAAAATCATATCAACTCCATTCACTTTGTTTCTATATAATAAAAGAGAAAAGCTATGTGGTTATGTCAGTGAATACAGTCACTTCACTTACACATACTAAAAAAAAAATTATATGGTTGTATCAATAGATACAGAAAGAGCATTTGAAATCATACTTATTTCAACTAGAAAAAATAAGAATGAAGATACCTCACTGTAAACTTTGTCAAACTTTTTAAGCATGATAAAGTACTCTAACATGAACCCCAAACCTAGAACAAATACTACAATTAAGAAAACTGTAGAATACTCTATCAGCACTATTCCATATGATCTGGAAATTCTGACAAATAACAAAGAATGAAACAAAAGGTAACAAGAAAGAAAAACTATCATTATGTTACAGTGGGATCCAAATGACCCCCAAAGGGCTCGCTGTGCTGGAGGCTTGGTTGCTGGTGGGTTGAGAGGTGACTGGATAATGAGGGCTGGGGCTTTATTACGGGATGAATTATTGGGAGATGATAAACACAGGAGATGGGGCTTAGTAGAAGGGATTGGATCTGGTGGGTGTCCCCTTGGGGACTGTACCTGCTCCCTGGCTCCATCCTCTCAGGCTCTGTCCTTTTCTCTCTCTGCTCCCTGGCTGCTATAAGCGGAGTAACTTCCTCTGCCACACCCTGCTGCCGTGATATTTCTGTCTCACCACCAGCCTAAAAGCAATAAAGCCAGCTATTCATGGGCTGAAACCTTGAAAGCTGTGAGCCAAAACAAATTTTTCCTCCTCTAAGTTGTTTTCCTCAGGTGTTTGGTTGTAGCAAAGAAAACCAACACACATTACTTACAAACAATCTGAACATCTATGTATTAGACTGAACCATGTGAAATAATAATTTTTGTAAGCAAACATGGTCAAGTATCAGTAATGCCATCTGGTTCAATGTCATGTTTTTAAAAGTTAACAGATAAGCAACTATAAAGGACTTCATCAAGGTTACTGATAATATACAAAAAAAAAATTACAGCAGCAAAACCTAACTAGAAAATCAGCATAATAATATGTAATTCATGCAAGTAATATAAACCATAAAATATAGAAAAATTAATACCTCTATGTAAAAAATTAGACTAATACATAAAGATAATGATGTCAGTAAAAACAGAAAGAGCAATCAGAAGTAATAGATTAAATGGTCACATTGAAATACATAAAATAAAACAAAATGAGATCTACAGTAAAATTCACATAAATTAAGAGAACCAAGACAACAATATACATTTTATAAGAATGCACTCAGTTAAAAAAAAAAAAATACATTCAAATTGTTTCTCCAGGAAAAGAGAAAAAGGGGCATTCAATAAATGAAACGATAGGATGACAAAGGCCAGTGTGCCACGACCTGAGAAGTACAATTAACATCCCTTATACTAAAGGCCCAGTGAGAAAAGGAAGTCAGGTTTAGATGTTAACTGAAGTAGAAAAGATGGCAAATTTCACAGTGGTAACTGGCTACTGGGAATTAGGGGAAAGAAAGTGCATTCAAGGTAATACTTGCAAGATTCATCTGTCATCAGTGCCAAAATAAGTTGAAATCTGGACAGGCTAGTGTCAAGGACACAAATGGTAAATCTATTATTATGTCATACACCCATAAGGACTTGTTAGAAGAAATGGAAAAACAAGGACCCTTGAAGTTCCATAAGAAGAAAGAATCAAGGGAATCTTCTAATTAAATGGGGTGGGTCAGGGAGGGAAAGTCATGGATGACTCCAGGCATTCTCGTCTTGGTGTCTGGCACCACTGACAGAAATAGAAAACTCTGGAGACGGGGCCAGGATAACAAGTTTGGTTTTAGAAGTAGAAAATTCAGCATACTGAGCTTCTGTAGCCAAAACAGCCAATAAAATTTAAGAGCACTGGGGAGTACAAATGCAATTACCTCCTGAAATAAAGTCATGGTCCAATTACACTGAGGACAGAGTTGGCTCTGGTTACTACATCCAAGAAAACAAAGAAAAAGAAATGTGAAGAGGAAAATCCAAGAAGAGCAAATCAAATGATTGAGTCAAATGGCTGATAACGCTTTTATGAGACTGGACTAAAAGAGTCTGCAAAAACCAGGCTGAGAGAGACCATAAATGAATTATACAAAAATAAATTTATCAAAAACTAGTTGCTTGAATCACAAAAGCGTTTATGAACAAAACGTTTTAGGACAGACACAAAGAACTGCTCCAAAACACAGTGCTTACAGCCATGAGTGCTTACAGCCACATCACACTTGCTGGCACTGACTGGCTAGGAAAAATGCAGCGCTCTCACGTCCATACAGGCAATATTTACTGAATCCCTTCTGTGTCCCAGACACTGTGGTAGGCACTGAAGATACAGTAACTGACTAAAACAAGCATGGTAGTGTAATGATTAATTTTATATGCTGGCTTTCATACCCAGCTTTTGTCTAAACAGCATTCTAAATGTTACCATATTTCAGATATAATGAACATTTAAGTAGTGGACTTTGGGTAAATCAGATCACGCTCCATAACGCGGTAGGCCTCATACAATCAGCTGAAGTTCTTAATAGGAAAGACTGAGGATACTGAATGTAAACATTTGGGCTTAACTCACAACACCAACCCTGCCCTGGATCTTCAGCCTGGAAGCAGCCTTCCCTGTAGACTCCAGACTTGCTAGATTCCACAGTCACATCAATCAACAACTGAAGTGGCTTATGATCAGTGCCCCCCTCTCTCTCATGCACACACATATACAGGCACACACACACACACACCACTGGTTCTTTGCGGTATTCTAATTAATACAGTCCCATGTCATACAAAAAATAGTAATCCAATACTAATCCTATAGATACATATTTTGAAAGCGAGATAAACATACGAAAGGAAAGAAACTGGTTCTATAAACACAAAATATGATAATCTGCTAAGCATTCTGGGAAATTTTCTTCTACAGTGATAAATCAACCAAGATTCTGGAAAGAGTGAAAGGAAGGAGATAAAAGTAGACAGATGGCACACAGCAAGGCCAGCAGAAAGTGGAGCAGGGAAACAGAGAATGAGGCAGGAAAGGAGGCCTCCAGAATATGTCAAGGCCAGCCTGTGAAGCACCGTACACAGGCACACAGTAGTACCTAGTACCACTTATCTGCAGTTTCACTTTCCAGTTTGTCAATCAAGGTCTGAGAATAGCAAGTGGAAAATTCCAGAAGTAAACAATTCATAAGTTTTAAGCCATGTACCAATCTGAGTAGGGTGATAAAACTGTATGCCATCCTGGTCTGTTCTGCCCTTCAGTCTTTATCAGTCTTTATCTGCCTGTCTCTTTATCAGATCCACTGTCCCAGTATCATAGGGCTTGTATTCAAGTGACTTGCATTTTATTTAATAATGGCCTAAAAGTACATGAACAGTAAGGCTGGCAATTTGGATATGCCAAAGAGATCCATAAAGTGCATTCCGTAAGTGAAAATTGAAAGTACAAGATACTGAGAGAAAATACAATCACATAACATTCATTATATTACACTGTTACATGTGTTCTATTTTATCATTAATTATTGCAGTTAATCTCTTACTGTTCCTAATTTGTAAATTAAACTTTATCACTGGTATGTCTGTATAGGAAAAAAATACAATATGCATAGGGTCCCGAATTCTGCAGTTCAGGCATCCTTTGTGAATCATGGAACACAGCTCTTACCCATTAGGACAGACCACTGTATTCAGATTTTTTAGTCATTATCCTCAGAGAGACAGGAGGCACTGAAAGGAATTACCTTATAGATGATAGCAGATGCACACTCTAAAGACTAACCTGGCTACTGCGTTAGAAATGGAGAGGCAATTGGAAGGAGATAGTGCAGTCCAGCTTTGTGACTCACCCAATTATGGTGTTTGGTGATGGCAGACACCATAATGGGGAAATCCAGGTAAAAAGCATCAGCTAGGTCTCGGATATGTTGAGTCTGAGGTACCTTTGAATGTCTAACTGGCAATATCACACTAGACCAGGTCTCCATGACTTCCCCAGACATCAGCCTAACAGGTCTCCCTCCCGCCTTCTACTCTTACCTCTCTGTTGTTTATTCTGCACACCTCAGAAGCAGGATCTCTACAATCTGTCAGCCTAATCACATCATGCCTTTGCTCAAATTCAGACTCTTTCACAGTGCATAAGGCCCATCTGCAGCCCAAAAGGGAATGAGAAATAAATTTACATACAATGGTCATTGAATCCAAAGCCATGAAGGAAATTGCATAGTCAGAGATTTTACAATAATCCATGTGGAAATTCATTATTTCCTGCAAGACAGACAGATAAGGAATGGCCAAAAAAGAAAACTCCCAAAGAACATGGAACCACAAGGGGTGGGGTGGTTCAAGAAACAAAATGATCCACGGTGCCAACTGCTATTAAATCATCAAATACAAAAAACATAAAGCTATTTATTGCCTCTAGCGATATGGCACCCGCTGTCTGCTACTTTCCTAAATTTGAGCAGTAATCTGGGTAGAGCAACAGGGCTAGAAGTCACAACTGAGTGTGAAGCAAGGAAGTAGAAAGAGTGAACACAGCCAAGTCGTCTCAAGAGTTTGTCTGTAAAAGGGAGAAGTGAGAGCGGTCAGGGATCTTATATTGTTCAATTAGAAAAGGTTAAATGCGTTCAAACATTGATGGAATAAACCATTTGAAAGATCAGTTGGATACATGGAGGGAGAAGGGATATTTGATAGCATAAGGTTTAGGGTTCGGGAGAAGATGAGAACCACAGCACAGATGAAAGGGCAGAAAAGCTAGAAAAGATACCTTCCAAGCTAGAACAGGCATGAACATGAAAATGGTTATAGATACAGGTAGTCTATGGCTTCATACCAGAAATTCTCACATGTATCTGAGCTCCCTAGAAAGAACCAATGTGATATAGGGGGGAAATGACAGGGGACTTTTGTTTTGTTTTATTGAGACAGGATCTTGCTATGTAGCCCAGGTTGCCTCAAGCCCATAGTCATCCTCTTGCCTGCGCCTCTAGGGTGTTGCAATTACAGGCATGTGCCACCTCACCTAGCAAGAGAAGACTTATTAAAGGAACTGCCTCATATGACTAGAGACTGAGAAGTCCCCCTAAAAACTATCTGGAAGGCTGAGAACCAAGGAAACAAACTTAGTCTGAGTCTGAAATCCTCTCAACAAAAGAGACCAAGATGTAACTTTCAGTCCAAGCCTAAAGGCCTGAAGTCCCAGAGGTAGGGGTTGGGGGTCCTCCTGGTACAAGTCTCTAGGGTTCAAAGGCTAGAGAATTTGGAGTTCTGATATTTAAGGACAGGAGTAGTGTAGCCCAGCTCAAAGAGACACAGATAGTTCAACTTTCCCTTGTTTTGTCTGTTTCATTCAGGTCCTCAACTAGTGGATTGTGTCCATCAACACTGAGTGAGGGCAGATCGCTTTCACTCAGTGCACTAGTTCAGATGTTGCTCTCTTCCAGAATATCCTCACAAACACTCAGAAAGAACGCTTTCCCCGCTATCTGGGTATCCCATAAGCTAGTCAAATTGACATCTAAAATGAAACATAACACCATCCATCTGGCAGAGATGGTTAGCAAATTGATTAAAAATATTAAGGATCCTGGGATATTGAAGATTTATTTTATCCTAAAGTTAATCAGACTGTCCCAAGAAATAGGCTGCTGGTGATATCCACCATAAAGAGAGATTGCCAGACAGCACATTATACTACAGAGTCTACTCTAAATTGGAGATTTTACCAAGCAGATTTTGGAGTTAAGAATCTCTGTGAGCAGGATGTGGTAGTACTTGCCTGTAATCCTAGTACTCCGGAGGTTAAGGCTGGAAGATCATGAGTTTGAAGCCAGTCTGAGCTACATAGCAAGACGCTATTAAAAAAAAAAAAAAATACTCTCTATGGATAAAAGATGGTAAAAAAAAAAAACAAATCTATGGAGTACTATCATTGTTTTGATTCTTAACAGAACAGTCTGCTTAACCCCTCCAGTTGGCTTTGTAATCAACTTGTACAGGCAGAATAACCATGCTCTTTCCAAACTTAACATATAATCACCTAAGTCTGGCCTCACAGTCAGGGAGGACAGTGGAAGAACAGGTAGAATGGACAGACAGGAGAGCCATCTTTGCATCATTCGATGCATCCTCCTGTACACAGTTGCCTTTGTTCAGCTCTCATCCTCCAATTCAAAACCTAAGGCAATGAGACAATTCTGTCCTGGTTTTTACAAATGGCTTGCATGCTACTCTTCTCTTTCCCTGAATAATTAACAGCAATGGTTTATTCAACAGAGTATGGCCTTACTTATACTTTATAGACCTCTTGGCACTGAACCCCTTAAGGCATCACAGTTTCAAGCCAGGTAAATAGCAGGGTGAGGATCTATTGCAAATAGACTGGCAAACTATGCCCTGCAGGTGAAATCCAGCTCACTGTCTGTTTTGGTATGCTCCTCAAGCTAAGAATAAAGTTTACATTTTAAAATAGTTTTTAAAAAAGTACTTCTGACTTTTGCTATAGGAAAAGGTAAATGAACATGTACATCACATGAAACTCAAGTATCAGTGCCTGCAACTAGCTTTACTGCAACATAGTAGTGCTGTTATCTGTGTATTATATACTCCTTTTTTTCCCCACACTATAACAGCGGAGTTGAGTAGTTTCTTTCAAGGCCTAGAAGATCTGGCCCTGTGGAGAAAAGTTTGTTTCTTTACTGTAGCCATTCCTAACCAAATCCAAGTTCAGACTCAATACTTCCAAAGACACTGCCTACCTCAGTTACTTTCTTTTTGTTGGGACAAAAATACCTGACACCCACAAGTTCCAGGAGGAAAGGTCTATTTTTGGTTCACAGTTTATAGAGGTTTCAGTCCTCAGTCAGCTGGCTCTGCAGTAGAGTGGCACAGCAGAGGGGCACGGCCGAAGAGAAAGAGCTCATGGCAAGAGCAGGCAGTAGATAGGAAGCAGTAGGCCAGCCTTCCTTGGTTCTTTTATAATCCCTCCAGGCTACAAACCTATTAGGCGGTGCCACCCACTCTCAGAGTGGGGCTTCCCTCCTCAGTAAATCCACTTAGCCACACTCAGAACTATGTTAATCCAAGTAAGGGACTAATCTGTTTATCACACCCTTAGTCTAGTATTTAGTCTAGTATCACACATCCACGATCCAGCCACCCCCAAAAGCCACACCTATGAGCACATGAGACTTTTGGGGGACATCCAGATACAAGCCATAACAGTGGCCCATCAATGTACCAATCAACTGGAATTAGCACCTAGAGTTAACAAAACCCCAGGGCCATCCCATTATCAGGACCATCCCGTTATCAGGACCATGGGTCTTTTTTCTAAGTTGGTACCATGATTTGTAAATCTACTGAAATTATGAAAAGAATCCTGGAAAGTAACAAGAAAAAACAAAGCAAAAATCTGGCTTTATTTACCTTTCTCTATAGCAAGTCAACTGGATGTCTCCTCAAAGGTAACTGACTTATTATACAAAACAGAGGAGTTCCGTTTTTTTTAAATGAACAACACTGTGAAAGTGAAATCCCAATAGTTGATTAATATTACCCAGAAAACATTCTAAAGGACCAAAATGCTCTGCTTCTATGTATTGTAAGAGTTTTCTAGATGAACAGAATCAATGGAGATTTACTCGGTTTACAGGATCTGAGGTGGAACAGTCCACGGTGGTTGTCTTCATGCTAGGGAATCAGAAGAGCCAGTAAATTGCTCAATCCAAGACACTGCAAGCCTCAGAACAAGAAGGATCAAAAGACTAAAGACCTGGAATGTCCCTGAAGAGGTGCTAGTATGAGTCAGTGCTGGAAGGCTGAAGAAGATGGAGTCTGAAGTCCACAGGTGATGGCTGTAGCAAGACACACATCTGTTCAAGGTGAATGGAGCCTGCAAGCATAGACAGACTTCCTCCTCTTTCCCCTTTCATCCCATCTGGGCTATAAGCACACTGGATGATGCAACCTACAATCATAACATGTCTCCCCCGTCTATGTATGATGGCCTACATGTCAATCACTTCTGGAAACATGCCCACAGACACACTCACAATTGTGCTTTCCTACTTTGCATGATACCTCAGTTCAGTCACGCTGATAATCAAGATAAAACCCGCAACCCTATTCTTGGCTTTTTTATTTCCTGTAGCTGATGTTTAGAGATCGAAGTTTGAGATCAGTGGTCAGATACCCACTGTGATGACACTCTAGTTCGTGGTCACCAAGGGAAACCTTTTTGCCCCATTAAGGTTTTCTGTTCAATTCCTGAAACTCTTCATGCAGTAACAAGATTAGTTTTCTAATATTGTAATTGCAATGAATTTTGTTTCCCTTAAGCACACTAAAACTGAGATAGCTACATTATGTGTGGCCACGCAAATTACTAGGCTCAAAGAACATTTAGGACTCTTTGTGAACAATCTTCAACCTGGACTGTGAATAAAAGCAAACCAAACAAAATAGTCCAGTCTCAAATCCTCAATTACACTGCAAATGATACTGTCTCCCATTAATATCTGGGTAAATAAAAACACTTAAAGACAGCACAGCCCTTATGTATTCCCATGTGCACATTTTTGTTGTTCAATCTTTGTTGAGTTGCACAACTGTCCTGTTTTGATTCTAGTCTGATTTGGCCAGTGCCTCCTGTTGGCCCACAATTCTGCCTCTTCTAACTCAGCTGTTGGTCCACATCAATTCTAAATCCTCCAAATCAGTAACCTCACTATTAATGCCAAACATCCTTCCAAATGCCACACTAAGACCTAACGGCACATTTGGAAAGAGGATGCAGATTAGGGCAATTAACCACGTCTACAATCTTTGATTTCTTTCTCTGCCACACAGCCAAGAAAAACTGATCTCTTTTCAAGGGCTTTAGACCTGGTCTTCAGGGCCTCCAACTGTGAGAACAGAGCAAAGTAATAAAAAGACGTTGCTTCCCAGATTCATAAATTCTCATGCCTTCCATAACTAC